AAAAATTCCATGGGAGATAGGTTACTATTATTGGAATTTTACAGATAGGGCAACTGAGGCACAGTTAGATAAACTGATTTTTTCTTGGTCACCGATCCAGGATCATAAAGTGCAGGTTCAAAAACCAGGCCAATGGATTCCAAAGTTCTGGGGCTGCAGCCCAGGGGTAGAGCACTTACTTAGCATGCAAGACATCCTGGTTCTCCAGCACAAAAAAAAACAAAAAAAAACCAATCAGACAAAAATAAACAACAATGAAATGTCTCCCAGTTTTACTGTATTTAGGCAGCTTCGTGTCCTGTGCATTATTCTTTCTTAAATGTCCTTCATCTTTGTCACTTGCTCTCCATGCCCATTGACAGGGCTCCTGCTTACACGTTCTGCCTCCTCACCTTAATGGGTGCATACTTTTTACCATTCCCTCCACCTCTGCTCTTTCCCCCTGCCTTGCACCCTGACTTCCTACTCTTGATCTTCAGTTCTCCACATGCAAACTCTGCTCAACAAACGTGGACTGTATGGAAAATTGAATTAAGACAAGATACAAAACCAATATAATTTGTAAATAAAATTGTGAATTGCATCTTTGCAAAAAAATCAATTAGGAAGATTTCTACCTAGCGCAATGAAAAGAGGGAAGAAGAAAGAAAACACACACATATATTCAAAATCAGAATGAAAAATTTAAATCTACTCCAGGTTCAGGGAAACAGAACCACTGGAAGCCAATACAAAGTACTACTTGAGCCCATTTAACTTTGAAATTTAGGATGGGAATGAGAATTTCTAGAATAAATAAAGTGTACCAATCAACTTGGGGAGAAAATTTAAATGCACAAATAAGTATGGACAAAACCAGGAGAAGTGATCAGAGAAATAAGTAAGGAACTGGGCCGCTGTGGTGTCACTGAGCAAAGCTTTACAGCAACAGATCACTGAGATCATACCGAAATATTTCTGGCAAGTGAACACATGCAAACAGTTAGCTCTAAATTATTTTGTTTACTACATACGGATAGATTTTTTTCTTGAATTAGAATGGTTCAGCTTATGATTTTTTTCTTCACAACGCGGCAAAAGTATCCGGTAGCCAGAAGAAACCTCACTTCAAATTTTGAATTTTGAGCTTTTTGCAAGCTAGCGATACATGGTCTGATGGTTTCTTGTGACCTTGGACAGCAGCAGCGAGCCGCCCCGGTCAGCCACAGGATCGAGAGGGAAACTACGACAATATTGTACAGTGCAGTGTCGCTGAGCAGTGATACTTGGCGTGTTACGACCAAGACACGCATCTTCAACTTAATCGTATTTTCAACTTAGGATGGGTTTATTGGAGTATGACCCTACCGTAAGTGAAGGAGAATCTGCATAATTTGCCGTTTAAATCTGAGAAATGTAAAGTAAGCACAGAGACCGGAATTACTTATGCATATTGTGACAGACAGGGCTAGCTGTGTATCAAAATTTATGCGGCCGCTTCGGCAATAGTGAGTTATTGTTGAGCAACGGCTGCTTGGCTGGGGATAACTTCTCGGCCGCATATTCTGTCCTCACAATGGAATCTGAATGGAAGTGTTGTGTTCATTTCCAGGCTCAGGCTGTTTTAATAAGTGGGTCGAGTGCTCTCAGTTTTGTTTTCCCCTTCACTGGCTCCATTCACAGAGGTTGTCAAGGCTCTAGGGCAGCCAAATGATGAGCTGTGGGCCCGGGGTGTATTTTTGTAAATAAAGTTTTATTGGAACACAGCCACACTCATTTGTGTATTGTTATGGTTACTTTCACATTACAGTGACAGAGCTGAGCAGTTGTGAGAGACAGAGCCTAAAGCATTTACTATCTGGTCCTTTAAGAAGAAGGACCTCACTTTAGGGCATGGTGGGGTCACTAGACAGAAGAAGCCTGCCACGGAGGACATATAATAGAAGAAAACCCTGAACTGTTGAGGGGAAAGAAATAAACTTCTTTTGCTAAGATGCTAAAATTTTATAGTTTTGCAGCTAGTGTTATTCCAACTAATAACACAACAGGTGCATATCCCCAATAAAGTAATATTAATTCCTAAAAAAATTCACAAAAGATTGTTTCCAGAAATTTAAGGACATGACTAGGTTGAAAAAGAAAATTCATATCATCAAACTTTTCACACAATTTGGAAACATTATAGAAACTCATCATCCATCTTATAAACTACTCAGTAGAATAGGTATAGAAAAATGCCTCTCTAGAATATCTATCTAATAGCAAAGCAAACAGCATATAAGTGAGTGACTACAGATATTCCCATTTAACAGGGAATATGAAAATATGCTATCATCAATATAACATAGCACTATGAAAAAACAAAATACAAAACACAACATATGGAATAGTTTTTGAAGCATTACCAACATACCAGTTACAGTAGTACCCTACTCTGTAATTTGTCCATAATCATTAAATTATATACAAAGCTTATATGTGCGTTAATGCATCATGCACATAATTTTATTTATAACTATTTATATCTGCTATATTTTATATATAATAATATAGTTTTTTATGTGTGTTTTTGGTTTTTTTGGTACCGGGGATCGAACTTGAGTCCTTGCACTTGTGAGGCAGGCAGTGGAACCACTGGGCTGAATCCCCAGCCCTGTATACAATAATATATATTATTTGTTTTATATAATATAGTGTATTATATATGTAACTTGTATATAATTCATATATTTTACCAGTAAATACATTATTTAATTTATAAATAAAATATAATTTATAAATAAAACATGTGAATTATATATGATTTATAAGTATTCAAATACTATATACTATATAGACTTTACACATGATGATCTTGCTTAATATATTACTATAATGGTTTAGCTTTTCAACTACCAGCCAGTGCAACAAGGCAGAAAATAAATTAAGGAGGAAATAAATTTCTATTTTTTATTATAGAATACCTAAACAGCTTAAGATAAACTAAAAACTTTTGAAAATATGAAGGAAATATTCAAAGATGCCAAGTTATAAAATAAATATATGAAATTAGTAAGTTTCCCATAGGCCAACAATAATCCATGTGATTTTACTTAAAACAACAACAAATTTTGCTAAGGGAAATACAAGAAGTTGTGAATAAGTAGAGAGGGACACTATATCTGATGCTTTGGAAGAATCAGCATCTTTTAAACATATGAATTCACTATAAATTAACTTATAAATTCATTGCAGTACCAAACAAAATTCTAATAGGACTTAAGTCAGCATATAAAAAACTGATGATAACGTTCATTTAAAATTCATTTCTGAGAGTAGCCAAGAAATATTAGGAAAATCAGATTAATGTGAAAAACCTTTCGAAGATGGATATTCATAAAATAGTGAAATATATCATAAGATTGAAGAAAAAATAAAACCAAAGCAAATAATTTCAGATGTGTTCAGGGTTTGAATGTAAAAATAAGACTGAACACAAACTGTTAAAAGATAGTCTAGGTGGAAGATCTCTATATTCTTTTCTATTCAGAAGCAATAAAGGAAAAGACAGATTATTTATATAGAAATTTTAAACTAGTACAGGTAAAATCACTATTCACAAAATCAAAAGGCAAAGGACAAAACTGGTGAAAGGCTTAGTGATGCCTGTGACAGATGGAGGACTCTTCCCTCTATAAAAATAGCATTTACAAAGCAGTGAGGAGGAACACGCCCACAGGAAAAAGAGGAAAGGCTGCAAACTGTCATGACACATCATCCCAGGAGGAAATACAATCTCACTATAAACCAAAGTGAGACAATTTAAAAAATTCTTTCACCTATCATACAAAAAATAAATCGCAGATTTAGAAACATGGCCTGAGTTGCTTTACGAGTTGCCCGATGGAGGTTTTTTTCCTATCTGAGATCTTGTCAGGGTAACGATGAGGAGACAGTGCACTGTTGAGTACCCTCGGTGAAGTTCAAAGGCACAAGATACTTGACTATTTATTGCAGACGGGGGAGTAAGACAAAAAGCAGCTCAACAATGGGACCTTGCGGCGGGGCAATGAAAGGAGAGCAAATTTACGCTCCCGGAGTCGGTATTTTCATATTCCACATGGCCTCTAAATGGATGGATGACAGCAAGATTCTAAAATGTAGATAAACTCGATAAACTTCATAATAAGCTTCATTTTGGATAAAATGCCCTTATACATAGGTTTTGACAATGTGTCAGAACATTTGAAAACATATTGCTAAGTAAGAGTTATCAGTATCCTCCTAGCTGTTTGTGGACCTAACTGGAAGAGAGTCAGTTTCCCTAAGAGGATGTTCAGCTCCCTTTTCTCCCTTCTACCATCATTTCTGGGTTGCACCCAAAACTCTACACAAGTGAATTTAGCACCTGCAGACTACATGGGTTCACTTGGTGTCAGTTGTTCGAAAACTTTACAGAACGATTTTATGCAATTTATGACAACATTAGCATTTAGGGCTCCTCCATGCAGATCTTTGGCTTCCCAGAGCTCGTGGAAGTTGTCACGAGTGTTCACATGCATGGAGTAGTATCAGCTGCCCTCTCAAGAGCCCGAGTAGGGCAGATCTGATCACCTCCTTTTCTGCCAGGCCAGGTGGCTTGGGGGAGTCCCAGCACACAGCAGCCAGACCTGGCCTGGAGTCCAGGAGTTGTGGTTTCACCCTGCTGTAGAAAAGGAAACTGAGAGGGGCGCTGTGGTGGCCATGACTCCTAAGGATAGGACCATGTAGCGAGTGCAGATGTTTTCAAGATTATATCTGGTCAGGTTCTCGGCCTGACAGAAAAGTGCAAAATCGGCCTGTGATGACTTGACCTTGGAGTGCTTTTAGATGACTTTCTTCCTCATCCTAGGCCCTCTGGAATGAGGGACACCCTGGGAGAGTGACCCATACCATGGCTCCTGTTGAGAGGCCCTCACCTTAGAGCCCCTAGCATGTTAGAGTTTCAGCTGCTTCTGGGTCTCACGAGCACTAGAGACAGGCATTGTGTGTGTGCTGACTACCTTTTATGGCTTCTTTCACGGCAGAATCCACCGGTAGGATGTTCTTTTCTACCAGTTCCAGCGGCCCGGGTCGGAGAGCAATCTTTTCGTTGAGATCATCAGCAAGGCGGGCTCTTTTCAGCTTCATCTGAGCAGTTGGAATGGACCTCTCTGTGGTGGAGGCTAAATGGTTGAAATGAAAAAGATCAGTTTTCGAGTTTGATGTCTTTGTTCTGCTTTGTTTTGGGCTTGTGGCTATAAAACACTGTGTCACATCGTGCCCTAACAGCCTAATAATGTTTCAATGGAATCATCATCACTTCTCAAGGATTAACACCGAAGACTGGATACTTCCAAATAAAGGCAAATAGAGAGGCACAAAGAAAAACCTAGAGAAATTTTATTTTTGCAAGGATTTGTGGAAAAAAATGCAATTTGGAGAATTTTCAAGCAAGCATTCCACGGGGTCCACATTACTTGCCTCACCCTATGCTGCAGGATTTGGGTGGTAAATGGCTCAGGCTGAGCCGGCAGGAAATGCGATCTACAGTTAGAATGAGTAGTAGTAATAAGACGTTTTAAGGGTTTCGGACTTGTCAATGCTGTGACCCTGGTTGGGAGTCAAATGTTCAAGTTGTTTATGAAAGAATAGATTCTTTGAAGCTGTTACTTAACTGAACAGAGGGATTTTTAAAAACTGAATTTGTCTAACAGGTGTCTTTAATCATTTGGAGGGTAAGAAAGGTTATGTACAGGGCCCTAAACCCAACCCTATATGGCTGACATCAAACTTCCTCTTTAGAGTGGGCCCTGACTCATTTCTATGGAAGAACTTGGTGAAGAATCCAGCTAAATTTTTCTCTAATGGAAAAATGTAAGCTAAGATTCTGTAAGTGTTTGCAACTTTGTTCTCAACTTCGTGAATTTAGCAAATCATGAATTTATAGACAAGCCTCCCAGACCCATTATTCAGTCATTATCAAGCTATGAATTCAACCCTTGTGTCAAGTGGCTGACCTAGAATTCTAGGAATGGCCAATCAGTTGCAACAAGTTGGGTCCTAAGAGACCATTGAGAAGCCCCCTGTTAGACTTCCCGCCTTGTCCATTCTGCACACCAACTCAGCACTAATCTTCAGAAATTCCTTTCATTTTGTATTCCCCCTACAAGATGGTCCTCTCTGTCCAAGCCTGCCACAAACTGAATTCACCTCCTTTCACAACTGGTCCCTTTCCCTTCCCAACATGCCACCCTATTGAGTCTGGTCTTGTTTTTTCTGCCTCCCCAGCCTGTTGTCTTACTGAGCTCACTGTTGCTGTGCTGTTGCTTCCCCACTCTGTTCCCCACACACAACTCCTTTTTTTTTTCAGGCCACAGTAGGAAGCCTTCCTGTTCTTACAGGTCCTTGGTTTGTTTGACCGCCTCTAGCAATTACAAGCACGGGCCTTTCTTTTTATATTTCTACTTCTGAATGTAGGTGGTAAGCTCCTGGAGGGCGGGGTTTGTTTTGCATCTATCAGGTCTGTGTGCTAATCCTCCATTTCTTTTGGGCAGAGGAGAGGATTGCATGAAGCCAGAAGCAGCTCAGTATTTTAATGAAAGACTGTAATGATGTAAGAAATAACTTGTATAGGTGGTTCTGAAGATTGAAACAGGGCTTCATATATGCTAAGCAAGTGCTCTGCCACTGAGCTACTCTCCCAGCCTTAGAAATAATATTTTCTATTATATATTTGATTATAGCATTACTATTTACTCATTACCATAAGTGTGAATATGCCAAAAAGCCTGCACAAGAATGTGAAAGCCTTAGGAAACTCCCCATTTATAGTCAATACTTTTAGTACTTGGCATCTTTCTTGGTTATGGCATTTATTAGTAGGCCTATATTTTTTTCTTCCTAGAATCTGCCTATAATTGCGTCTTATCTTTATATATATATATTTCTTCCCAGAATTTGACTATAAATATAAATTTTTCCCTGATCTTTTCACTAGACATCTTGCAAGCCTGTTCTTATAAAGTCACTATTCTTTGAAACCCTTGCTTGTAGTAGCTGTGTGGAATTCAATTGCACAGATGATCCACAGTTTATTCAGCTAATCTCCTATTCTGGACATTTCACCATTTTCCGCTTTTCATTTTCTAAAGTAATTCCACGATAAACATCACTGTACATAAATCTTTGAAGTGTGATTATTTTCTTTAAATAAAATATGAGAAATCACAACACAAGCTAAAGGGTAGGTACATTTTTTAGAAGTTTGACGCACATTGCCTAATAGTGCTCTAGAGATGCTGAGTCGTACTCCTACCAGTTGTGTGTAAGAATGTATGTATTTCCCATATCCTTGCCACACATGGTATTTATTTTTATTTGTTAACCTGATCCTTGAAAAGTCTGTATCTCATTTGAAATAGCATTCTTTGGATTATTTGTACAGCTGCAACTTTGTGTTGACCCAGCAGCTGCTTCTAGGGTCTTGGCCATGACGTTTTGCAGGGGAGGTGAGAATCTCTTCTCCTAAGAGCCTTTGGTATCTTTTAGTTGTTGCATCCAAGTCCAAGCCTTGCAGCTTACACAGCCTTTCCCTTGAGTGCTACACTGTCCTCCTTCTCCAAAGCAATTCTCCATCTTATTCTATCCCATCTGTCACAGGGGTGAGAAAAGATCAGCCTTGGGAGACAGGATGGACTAGAAATGATACTGATTAAAAAAGCCAATATTCATGGCCGGGGATTTTAGCTCAGTGGTTTGGTGGCCTGCCTTGCAAGCGTAAGGACCTGAGTTCAATCCCTGGTTCCAAAACAAAAACAAAACAATATTCATGACTTTCATGATATTTCAGGACTGTTTGTGCTACTTAAAGCTAGCGTACAGTTGTGTAAGGGAATGTGCATGCTAGAGAAAAAGTGCTGGTGTATGTACATGCTGTTCCCTCAGCCTGCAAAACCCTTCCTTTCTTCTTTCTCTTCACGGTCCAGCCTTCACATTATAGCTCATTCCTTTGCTCCATTCCCATGAATTCTGATTCACATGGCTCTGTCCTCTCGTTCTCTGTACATCCATAGCACTGTGGATTTTCACTCTTTTCATGCTGGATTGTGAATGCTGATTCTAATGTCTGCCTCCTTTACTATCTGAGAGAAACCTTTAAAAGTGGGAACCTCTGCCATATTCATTACCATATAAACAAGGTTTGAAAGATCAGCTGGCTTCTAGTTTGACATCCAATGGAGTACTTATTTCATTTTCTCATTGAGTTTATTGGGACATTTTAGGTATACAGTACAGTTACATTCATCATTGGGATCTTGTACCTTTACATTGGTTCTCATTTTTTCCCCTTATCCCTGCCTTCCCTTCACCCCCTTCTCCCTTAATACAGTACTTATTTGACAAATAAATATTTATAGTTAGATCATTCAAGTAGAAGGTAGACCCCCTTTGAAGCTGGGCACCAGTGGTCTGTGGGAGTCCCACCTGAGGGACAGCAACTCTTGAAATAGTAGAAGCCTCCCTGCTCTTATTCAGGTGTTTGCATATGAGGGGCAACCAGGTGTTTGTCCTAGTTCACTCTCCTCAATGTAGAGGCAGTAACTTAGGGTGGAACTAGGTTTGCACTAATAAACACTGATCTTCTGAGATTGTTATTTTCTGCACACCAGAATATTAAGGAATCAGAAAAGCAGGATCAAGCAGTTCCCTAATGGATACGGAAGCAAACAGAGCCTCAAATGAACCCCAAGCTGAATGATGATCCAGATTAATAATTACCAACGCATGTCAAACGCTTCTTGTGTCCTCAGAAAGGTAATGTGACTTGTCCTGGCTTTAGAGTCAGGAAGTGTCACAGACAAAATTGTAACTCTAGATTGAAAGCTCACTGTGGCTTTCTAATTTGACTTTCAATGGGGCTTAAAATTGCTAGATGACTGCTTGAAGCTTCCACTAAAAAGTCAGGAGAGATGTTTTAAAGATGTTTAGGGAGATAAACAACTCTGGAAAAGTAGTCCACCATTTGATGGGCATCTACTAGTTTGTGATATCATGCAGACTTACCTTGGAGTATGTGCATATTAACCACTTTGCTGCGGTCAGACCTGTTCCTGCCCTTGTGCCTAAGGGAATCTTCAGGCTATGGAACAAAAACATGGAGAATTGCCTCGTTTTAATTTTAAAAAAAAATTTCAGTTTCCCTTAATGGGAAAAAAAATTACTCTTTTTGTTACAAACGGAAAATAGAAATATCCTTGGTCTTCCAGGTTTTGATGAAGAAAGACAATGACCATTCTAGGAGTTTGGGATGGGAAAATAAGATGGAAAGGTAAAAAGCTTGGGTCCATGTCAGGATTACAAATTTAAAAGCTTTGAAGGGCCATGCATGTACATGTTAATAAAATATTAATACAACAGTCACAATACCAACTTGCTTGTATTATAATTAATCCTATTCTATTGACTCTTATAACTGTCACAAAATTAATAAAGGTTAGAGATAAAACTTTGCATGAAAATATCTGCTATGACAAGACCACTTTCAGCCCTCTCCATCATTCATCTGGCTTCTCTCTTAGGACAGGGGAAAATGCAAAGCCTACAAACTTAGATTTTAGAAATAGATCATTTTCTGTATCTCATCATCTTGATGGGGGAGCTACTCAGTGATGGTGAACCTTTTAGAGCTTTCAGTGATAACAAACAGTCTTCTTCAGCACGTGTGCCAGATGTTCGCCACTCCTAGGCCGTCATAAGGCCAATCTAGGCTTGATTTCTACTAATAGGCTTTTATCTTACTATTTTGGGACCCTGAAAAAGGCCTGGGGTTCTCTCCAATTCTGATAAAAAGACAGTCAGCTGTTTGTTATTTTCTAGGTAGTAGGAACAACAGCCACTCACAAGCAACTTTGAAGAGTTGCAGAGTACTGCTCTTCCTGTCTTCCCACAGATAAGCAGCAAGGCTAGCACTCTCAGGCAATGACACAGTTGCCCCAGGCCATCCCTTCTTACTCAAAGTGCCAATGGTGCTGCATCATATTTACTCCAATGATAAATTCAGGTTGCAGAGGTTTGGTTATAAAGGTGCAAAATATGTTAATTTTTCATAGACTGGAAAATAAGCATTATCCCCTTTGCCTTTAAGCAGCTGCAGATAATCTCTGTCCCCATAGACTTTGCCTTCCATTGAACTACAGTTAAGAAAACCTGTTGGTTGCTATGGAAAGACTGCATTAAAAGGTAAGGCAGCTTGGAACTAACCCCACTGCCCTTCTTAAAGTCTTTTTGGTCCTCGGTGCGTCCTTGCTGTGATTTTCCCTAAAACCAAAAAGATTAAGGACATTTTGCTTAAATGATAAAAAATACAGTTTCAAAGCTAACTTAGAGGATTCCATCTCCACCCTAACTAGTACAGAAAACGGAGGCTCCATGTGGCATGGGGGCATCAACCAGTTGATGAAGTTGATTGCGGAAATTCTATAGCTTCAGCCAGAGTTTAGCATCCAGAGGTCTAGAACTAACAGTTCAAGTTCAGGAAAAGCAGTTTGCAAGAATTACCTTGTTGCTATCCAAATTTTTTCTTTGCTCATGGAATGCAGTTGGACTTTTCAGGGCTGAAACAGAAAGACAAAGACATGAGCAGAGGTTGGCTCAGGGGTTGGTCAGCGTTGCAGGACTGGCTGCTGTGTTGGCTGAGCTATGCACAGTCTGGAAGTGATTGCCATTATGAGGCCACAAGCAAAGAGAGAGAAAAGGCCTGGAGGACGCCAGCTGCCTGGAAGCCACAAGAGCCAGAAGAAGGTGGAATTCAGTCCTCAACCAAGCGGAGCAGCAGAGGCAGAATGCGTGACAGGAAGAAGAGTGGCAGGGCAATGACATTCCAACTTCCTGAGGAAATAGAGGGGTCAGAAACAACATGGTTTAAGAGAGGAGGTAGATAGATAACTAACACCCTCTGCAACTTTGCTCTGCTTTTGAGCTCAAAAGCTGGGAGGTCTGGGTAGGGGTGTGCTCTAGGAGGGGACTGTACTTTGGATGAGGGATGTGGCTGGTTGGTCATGAGCATGCAAACAAGGGTGTTTAGTGAGCAGCAGATAATCAGACTTTGAGGGCTGGAAGGAACCTTGGAGACAGGGAAGTCCAGTCTTGAATTAAATGAGGAAATTGAGGTCCATACAAATGGATTAGCTTGCCCAGAATCACACAGTTAGGGACTGGAGCCTACATTCTCTGATAACCCTAACTTCTTTGTAACTGTGCTATTCAAACTCCTCACAATCAGCCCACACAATATTGGTCTGTCACATGTAATACATAGTAGCTGTAAACCACCAGAACCAAATATCTCCACTCTTTCCTTTACATCTTCCCCATTACTCATCTTCAACACTTCTTTGTGATGATTTAATCAACTCTGATGATGTAGCAAACGAATTAGAATATCCAGCAAAATTCTACATTTTGTACTGATTTGCCTGTCCCCTGGAACAATCTCCATTGGGAGCCATAAATAATCGCTTTTCTTTATAAGGAATGAAGTTGATTAGAGGGTACAGAATTGCATTTATTTCTCTTGAATTTCAAGTCCAAATTGATGCATCATGTGATGCAGAGTTCTACAACTACTGAGATGTTTACTCTTAAATTGCAGGCACTGAAGTATTCTTCCAAATTTTGGCTGGCGTAAAAAATAGGTTTTTGGCGAGATCAGCACTTGGGACCATGTATGTGCTCATACTCCTCATTCAACTCTTAAGTCCACACACGTTAAATGTAAGCACAGTTTTCAACAAGGACATCAAGCTATAAGAACGGTGAATGCCATAAGGGTGGTTAGCCTATTCTCCCCTACGTAGGATGCTGCTTGGTGAGTTATTAAGACAAGCTCTCCATCAATTTCGCTGCCTCACTGGTAATTTTGACCAAGGAGACAAGCAAAATAGTCCCAGCGGCCTGGGACCCAATATAGTTGATATCCTCCTTTCTTTTCACTTGGGCTGGAGATTGAGAGATCTGATTTTTATTACAAAAATAATTCTTTTTGCATATGTATCACATGTTCCACGGATCTGGAAGCTGATTCTTCAGCTTTTCTTTGATTGCTGTTTTCACTCTTAAAAAGTGCTTTTTTGTCACACCCGTTACTGTAGATGGCCCCTTCCCTTCCACTTCTTTCCACTCAGTGATTCTGGAAAATAAATGTGCTGCTCTCCTGTGTGCTTCATGAATTTCCTTTGATTTGCATCTGGACACCCTCCTTAGGAAGGAGGTGTGACTTTTTCTGCTTTGATCACAGTTTGAATTTGCATTGAAGGTGTCTGAAGACTGGTTTCCTTTTCCCCAGCAACCCATCTCGAAGTCTGCTTAGAGAACAGTGGCCTCTGGTGAACCTTCAGACCTTCACCTTTGTCCCATCACCTGGGGATCAGTTTACTGGGTATTACATCTTGGTGTGGCTTAATTGCTTACATCATTCAGAAAAAAGATCTGGTTTTAGAAATGGGATCTTTACTAAATGGTTAAAAAGAATAACACACCCTTTTACTTAACAAGTTATCCAAAGGGAATAGTATGAATCTATCTTGAGATATCTCACACATTCCAAATGTGATTGGTTTTAATTAGTCTTGGAACTCGAGAAGGATTTATCTGATTCAGAAATGAAAACCTTCATTTCTTGTTGGTGGAGCTTAACTGTATTAAGAAACACTGCATTTCCTACATTTTAGCTTCATGAGCTACAACTCAACACTTTTTTTGTGTTAATAACTGCTTTGTGAAATGATTCACATAACCTAGTTCTCTGAAGCCAGAGGCGCAAAGGTCTTTCAGAACCTTCTACTTGTGGGTGCGAAGCTACTTCCATTTAGCAAGGTCTTGGAAAGAATACCAAAGAGGTCTACAAGCTGCTTTTGCCATTTGCTCCTCTCCTTGGGGCTTAGTGGGGGTTTTGTGTCTTGTGGGACACTGGCTTGAGGTCAAACAATGGAAAACTCCCCTGCAATGCCCAGGGGTCGAGGTATGCCTTCTTCTTGACTCCAGAGAACATGGATTTTAGCCATCTTCCCTGAAGGCCTGCAACAATCATAATAGTTGCCATCCCCAGTTGGGTTTTTGGAAAATACACAAAGGACCACTTGTGCTTGCCACCCTGGGGAGTATCAAATGGCAAAATTTTGTTTTTAAAGGACATTGACATTTAAGATTGAAAAGGAATTTGGTTGGATTCCTAAATTTAAAAAATAAGTCCATGTGATTTCAAATTAAAATATGGTTATAAATCCAGTCAGCCACACATTTGACTCATTCCCTCTAGAGGAAGATTAATTGCTCCTCACAGCAGAATTCATGTTCTCGCCTCAGCATTTAGTTGCTGGCTATTCCTATTTCTGTCCCCACAGATCCAGCTAATGTAGGTCAGCTGTGTGTATAAACATTTGCTTACTTAGAGTTCAGGAAAATGATCCTGAGATAAGAACAGGCCTCTTGTGGTCCTCTTCACTCCAGTTAAAGCCTAGGCCTCTGAGAAGATCCCAGACAATAGAGAAAATAGGCCATGGGGCTGCTAAGAACCCATTTAGGGCCTAGACCTGATCCTTACACACAGGTCTGGGATCTGCTGTTGGCCAGGCTCTGATAGCCAAGGCAAGCTATTGCCAGATGTGATTTCCCTCTAGGGACCCCTCACTAGCAGGTTCAGTGAGACCCCAGCTTCATTAATGCTGAGGATAAAGACCAAGAGGCAGATTCAAGGAGCCAGAGACCTGGGGCATCAGTCAGATCCACAATACTCAAAATTGTGGTCCCTGGGCTAGCTTTCTTACTATCGATTGGGAACTTGATAGAAATTCCAGTTCTTGACAAAACTCCAGAACTACAGCATCGAGAACTCTGGGGATGGGATAGGGTTCTATATTTGAACAAGCTTTCCAGCTGACTTTGATGCCCAAGTAATAAGAACTTCAGCTATGGTGTTTATAAAGCCAGTGGGTCCTGATCTAGACTCCTTGGGGATTTGTAAGTTTAAAAAAGATCAATGGTTCACCAAGGACCAATTTTTCAGCATTTCAAAAACATGAAGAAAAAAGTATGTCTGTCCAGAGAGAGGATGCTTAGGCTAATAAAGCTTTCATTTTTTCATTGTTGCTGTCTAGAATGATACCATTGTGGATTAGAAATGGGCATTTGCATCAAGAAGCACTGGCTGGTAAATTTATATGCCATTAATTAATTAAAAACAAATATGGCTTAAAAATTAATATGGATAGTGTACATTGGGTGGAAAAGACAAAACTATTTCAAACATAAGACCTATAGCAGTGAAGGATATAACCAAAAAAAGTCCTGAGTAAATAAAAACTTAAAAACCATTAATCTGAGCCCTGTCAACATTTTGTCATCTATTTTAGGTGTAATTTTGAATTAGTCCAATGGGTTTATTGGGCTCTGTTTCCCACTTATAAAATGGGTTCTCTTTGTCTTGGTGTAAAGATAGACTGAGCCGTGGACATGTTTCTTCTGAGATCATGATATTTGCCATGTGAAATTTATATTCTCCTTTTATATTGGTAATAAATAGCTTATTTCATACCCAAGTGACAGTCTTAGGGTTCTAAAAATTGTGACTATTTTCCAATGTAGCTTTGTAATATTTAAGACCTGGTTTGCACACTTTCAGAATTTGAGGTAACATATGTGAATTTCTCTGATTTGAATATTGGAGTTTCTCTGAAAAAGGAAACAAAGACGAATTCAAAGCATGTCTATAATTATTGATTTTCTAGCTTCTAAGGGATGGGGAACTGAAAAATTGAAAGAGAGATGGAAGAAAAAAAAGGGAGGTATGATTGTTGATCCAAATGCACTTGGCAAGAAAATTCAAGACACCTTTTTCTATCTCTGAAGTTGAGATGTTAGAAAGAAAGAAAGAGGCAGGTAGATTAATCCCGTTGTGCCGTGTTCTGCTCAGACAGCCAACAGAGTGTGGAAAGGTGCTGTGGGGAGCAGCCAAGTCAAATGAATGCTCTGAGAAAAGGAAGAGAGACTTTGTCCAGTCAACTTCTCAAAACTATGGTGAAGCTGCATGGGGTGTGGGTGCAGGAATTGCCCAGGTCATTCTTCTTGCTATTCAGGAGTATCACAGAATTCAGGGATTTACCAAGGCTTTGCAGTAAGTATGTGGCTGCTGTAGCTTGAATTAGTCTGCAAAAAAATAAAAATAAATAAAGGCAGCACCATTCATACACAGCTCATTGTATCTTCAAGTTCTCTTACACTGATCAGATCATGCAGCCAATCTGTCTGGATATCCCATTCTGGCCAGCGGTGGCTATCTGTGAGACTCTGTTGAGAAGTAGCAGCCTCTTTGACCTTAAGACTTCTAAAATCCATTTTAATTCTCCTGCTCTCATCTCCTGTATTCCAGAAGTAGGTAGGATTCCTACCCTGTTTCCCTTGGGTTCAACCTTATTAGATTCTCTTTAGTAGTAGAGAGGAAGGAAAATTGTAATTTTTCACCTTCAACCCTTCCAATAACCATTCCCCGGTAGGATCATAAAGTTGCCTAAAATTGTTACATGGGGATATTTTGGGGCCCCCAATACTATATTGCAAGATCTTAGACACAGAAATCATATTTTCATTCTCTGTGTTTTCCCCAGAAGCTTCCTGATAGCACGCACTTAGTTAAATATTGACTGAATTGCTCTATGGCCATTTTATTCAGTGTGATCCACATAGCTTATTATCCTTCTAAACTCAGGCTCTGGTAGTGGTTAGAATTCAATGGTGTCATTTAAAAGATTCTACCTAGGAGAATGATGCCCAAAGGAAAGAATTGTAGGTAAGAAAATACATACGAATTAGTGATAAGCAGATCCAAGCCCCCAGAGATCTGTGAGGGGGGTGGAGTTGGTTCTGCCCTATGGCCATGGGAAAGTACTGAGCCTTGAGTCTTAAAAAGGAAGGGCAGTGGAGCCAGTCCCTTCAAATCCTGCTTTTGGTGGCAAACTGAGCAATTCAAAATCCCCATCCTGAAATTCAGAGATGGGTTTTTTGGAGATAAGTCCAAACAATAAATCCTTAAAGTAATACTGCTAAGGTAATCATGAGATAATATTTCACCACCAAATAAGGATTTCACATTTAAAAAATGTGAATTTCACAACTGCCATAAATGTGAAGGCATTGTGAGCATGAGGCTTGGGGCTCCACTTGAGGATCAAAAGCATTTTCTTACTGTTTAAAGATCTTTTAGGGGCTCTCCAAGGCCTTAGATCCTTACTTGTCACTTTTACTCAAGACATAATGCCTTTAAATTCATGGCATAAAATGGAAAGAGGGAAAAATATTCTAAACTATGAGCTCATTATTGTTAAGCTATTGTTCATCGATGAGAACAAAGTGAATGCATAAAAGAAGTGATGGGTTGGTATTATAAAAAAGTAATTTATTACTGATGTGTATGGATTCTTTGCTACTGAGCAGAAACCTTAAATCTTTCAGGATGAACATCCAGAAAGAAGGAAGCAGGTGAAATGAACCCCTCTGGGTTAGTCGCAGTAGCCAACTGAAAAGTACACAGGACTCAGCTCATTAGAATAAGTGAGAGAGAAATCTCAAAATTTACGCATCAACTTGGAGTTCAACTAAAGTGCGATTTGCTGTAGAGCTAACTCAGTGGAGGTTTTCATTCATTGTTGGCCATAGTGAAACAGATTATGATGCAGAAATTAACTTGAAGTTCATTTCATTAATATCATTGATTTATCCTTGGCATTTTCCCACTTCACTTTTTTAAAAAAATGGTACTGGGGATCAAACGAAGGACCTTGCACTTGCAAGGCAGGTGGCGCCACCACTGAGCTAAACCCCTGCCCCACACTTTACTTCACTTTTTTAACTTTTCAAATTCCAGCTGAATTTTTGATCACAAAAAATGTAAGTGGTTTTTAATGGTCTACTGATTTCTTTGAACATTGGAGAAGAGGAGCTTCTTAGAGATCAGGAAGCTCAAATTTGGCATTATCTCCGCAACAACAGGGGAGAGTTGTGGGTTTTTTGTAGTATTTGACAAGATCCAAAGACTTAATGTAAAAGGCAAGACTAATCCTGCCAATGGATGGCAGGCGTTCTGTTGAGTGTCCTAAAAATAGCACTGCTGTCATAACTGAAGAATAATGAGTTCACTGGGCTGACAGTTTTGAATTTAGGCAAATTATGAAAAGTTTTAAAATTTAGGGAAGGATTGCAATTTTTCCAAATTTCATAGCTAAAGGGACATTGTAGAAATAATCTGATCCTGCAGACAGTTACATTATCATAAATTAAAACTTCAAAAAATGGGAGCACGTTGGACCTGACATTGGGATATTTGAAAACTCTTTTAAGTCTCCTCAATCTCAGTTTCATGAACTTCAAAGACAAATGAAGAATTGATTAGTTCAAGGTATTTTTCTTTTTTATTCTGAAGAGGACCAGACCTCAAATGAGGATTCTTGGGGGATCTTCGGGAAGGTATAAGAAGAGGCCAAGAAGCAGAGTCCTGAACGCTGTCTATGTCGTGTGTGTGTGTGTGTGTGTGTGTGTGTGTGTGTGTGTGTGTGTACAATGGGTGATGTGTATATAAAGGATATTGAAATATAAGATGGATGTAAATAAAAATTATCACAGTAAAAGACACATTGCCATGAATTCCCCTCAAAATATTTCTCCTGCTTTGAAGTTCTTCTACTTTCTGAAGCAGTTTTGGAAGTCCTTTTCCATGAGCATCTTTGTGAGGCATGATAAAAAACACAGCGAAGTTTGCTGCTGAGTACCGTCCAATGGAAAGACAGGTTTGTAAAAACATGGTGGTCATTTATCTTATTTACCAGATAAATGGGCTCTTCGGTAAAGTCCAAATGACCATGAGAGATAAATTGCTTCAGGACATCATGGCAGCAAGGGCAGCACAAAATAAGACATGAAAGATGGCTTCCAGAACTGTTTCACAAAATGACAGGAATGATGGGATAAGTGTGTTAAATACCAGGGGGAGTATGTCGGTGGGGATCAATGACACTGTCTTTTACCATAATAAAGTTTAAAAAATTTAAACACATACCATATATTTTAGTCACATTACATACATACATACATATATATATATATATATATATATGCACAATTTCTTTAACAAAAAAATTAGAAAATTCACAAAATCAGGTGACCTCTGAAGGTATTAGCTTTTCTTCCTTCCATTGTCCTTCCTTTCCTTTTCTGTTCCGCTTCAAAAACTTAAAGCAATAGAACAAAGAAATAAAAAAATCCTTTTATAATTGTACTTACCTTTGTTTCTTATCACCCTTTCCCCTAACATCCGGGGCCCTTCTGAAGGACCACGTTGCTTACTGTTGTCCCTTTAGTGCTTGGCCTAGTACCCTGCACACGATTAGATTTATCACAGAATTTGTTAATTTATATTGATTTGAAAAGATCTGGAATCTTGGCTCCTCTTCTCTTCTCTCTGCTGTTTGAATTTGCACGTGCATCCCCAAGTCTCCGAGGAACACACAGCTCGGCCCTGAATGTTGACTGCATGCGCAGTCTGTGGTCGGATTGAGAGGCCTAACCCATCAGCCGGTGAAGAGATTCGCCCTGGCTCTAGATTTCTGAGAAGAGCTAAATGGAATGGGCCGGGCCAGACAGGGACCAGTGTGAGTTAGACCAATACACGCCATGTTCCTACAGCAGAACCGACTCCCTTAGAAAGCCAGGTTGAAAGGAGGAGGCTAAGTACCTTTGCTATTTGCTTGACTTATAAAAATGATTTCATTATTTGCAGGACTTTTTATCCTCAGAAATTATCCTAGCGATACAATGAACTATGGATGCAAATTTTCTGCCAAGCAGAATTTTGGAAATCCTGGAGAGCAAACTCTTGTACTTCTACTGGAGTCTAAGGTGCAAACAGATGCTTGACTTACACAGCTGACATGAGAGGTGTTATTTAAAAATACACTGTAGAGTTATCCTGTCTTTACTCGTTGCTTTTACTCATTGCCAAATTGAACTCCAAATTCTTAACAAAAGTTTATTCTTACCCACATGCCAGCTGCGAGAACCAGGCTCAGAGTATTCAAGCACTAAACATTATGAACTGAACATTAAATCAATTGTGAAGCAACTTGAAATAACTAAGAGGTCCTGGGTCTATCCGCTCTGCATTTACCTTTCCAGAATTAAGGAGAAAGAAACATGGGTGAGGGCACAGATTATCAGATTTGAGTGCAAGTTCCCTGGCCTGGCCTGAGGCCTGCAGATCTTTATTTTCCCTTTAACATCTCTATTGGAGGGCTTAGATGAAATAGGCCACACATAGACTGGCTTCTTTGGCTTCTCATATACTTGTAAATGTTGCTGAAAAAGTCTTAAAATTGCAGGGGAATTGTTTCTTTTGTGCTTAGCAAGGCTACAAAAATTGTGCTTTAAAGTTACCTACAGTTTACTGTTTGTAAAACTTATCCATTAACAAAGAGTTACTTTTGACTTAACAAAGGCTTGAAAATTTCTTCCTCCTGTTCTGGCTTGAAGCACAGAATAAACTTACAAGCATCTGAATTTCTGTGTCATTATAAATATTGATTTAAAAAATTTACTGGGGAAAAACTAGTAGATGTACAGAAGCTTAAACCATGATTTCATTCACTGAGGCTCCTTTTTCCCCATTGCCATAGATAAACTCAAGTTAGCTTCAATTGCTGAGCTGGTAGAAAATTGCATTTTCTACAAGGTACGGTAATGCTTCTTCTTTGATCCAAATTATGGTCAGTGATTCAATATTATATAATTTGTGCCAGAATGGTATTACTACACAAAAGAAAAGAAACACACGGCAATGTCCAATTAACTGTGGAATCAAACTCTCCAAACAGAATTGAAACCAGGGAGGTGAGGGAAAGAAAAGATTATGTGATTGATACTTCTGGAAAGAATAGTAACTATGTCCAATTTTAAAGGTAAGCAGCAGTGAAGGATATCCACAGTGAGGTGTGTTTACCTTAAGAACAGCCTTGTCCTAGTGGAATTTCAGACACTCCCCATTTGGCTTAAAGGGAAGCACCTTGCAGGTGAGTGCTGGTAGCAGGCAGAGCACCCAGAGACTGGGTTTCTGTTGACACAGATTCTGTAAGTCTCTTGGAAGATCGATGCATTGGCTTATACTAAATAATCTCTGAGGCACTTTCCAGCTCCCAAATTGCATGTCCTTGGCAATCTCAGTAAGTAAGAGCCATAGATACTCACGAGGTATTAAGCCTTGGTTAGCCAGTTGCTCCTGGGTCCTTCTCTGTTGGAGTCGTAACTGTAAAACTTAAAAAAGGAAGTGTTATGTTGTGAGTTGGGCTAGACATGACTATAATCACTTATATTTTCATAATACTTTTCATAGCTCTTCTCATTTTATTTCTAGAACAGTTCTGAAAATTATTCTCGAGTCTTTCTATTCCTGTTAGAGATGCAGAGAAAACAATGAGAGAAGCTGAGGGCCTGTACAGTCTGCAGCAAGTTCTAACAAACTGAGATTAGAATACCAAACTCCTTCATGAAGTGAATTATTATTATCTTTACAGAATCTCTCTCTCTCTCTCTCTCTCTCTCTCTCCTGTATTATTTGAAAACACAAATATAATCAAATTCTGCTTGGATGATAGCCTGTGATTTCAAAAGGGGAGACAGAGTGAAGAAAGGTTCAACTCTTATCTATCACCCCTTAGTAGATGCGTAACCCTAGGCTTATTGCTTAACCTTTCTGACCCTCAGGTTCTTCATCTGTAAACAGGAACAATGCCAGCTTTCCAGGGTTTCCATAAAGTCTGATAAGACAAGTATAAGCACATCACTTAGCAGAATGCCTGGCACACATAATGTGATCAGTACATGAGAGTGTTACGAGAACATCAATTCTTCTGGGAATTCAAAGAAGGACTACTAGAGTTATGCCTTGTTTAAAAACACTATAAAATTATCCAACTGAATATCACATATATATTTCATATAGTATATATCTATAGCACAAATACATTGTACATCATATACATTTAAATAGTAAACATGAAACAGTATAGAATTATTACAATATGAGTGTGGTTTTTATAATTTTCTCTCTTCTCACTCTCAAACACACTTTTTGTGTTTGGACATTTATCCTCCCCTGCTCATGGATATATCATTTTCTCAGGAAGATTGTGAGTGTGCCATCTTGGTTTCCATTTTTTGAGTTGCTCCCAAGAAGAGTGGGAGGAACAAAAGTTTGCAGAGAAAAGATCAATTGTTGTACGGTGAAAAGGGAGGCCATGAACTGCTCCTATAAGAGGGAGATTGGAATAGGAGGAAGAGGAAAAAGTGAAAAAGCTATGTGGGCTGAGTTTCAGGCTTATTTAGTATTTTAGAGTGAGGTTTCAAAGCAAATAGTCATAAGGTAAAACGAAAGTTAAGGTAATGGAGAATAATAATTTAAAAAAGTATTGCTGTGTATTTTAAGTTGGATTCTTATTGACATTTTGAGAGATACCAGTATTGTTTAAATTGCTTTTAACTAATTTTTGTTGGTAGACTGTGCTTCATCTCATAAGCCCCATAAAACTCCATGTAACAGCAGGACAACAAAGAGGACAATTATTTTAAATTGCGGGGAAATGAAAATTATACGAGACTTATTGTAAGTTCACCTTTAGACCAACCCTCCTGGTTAAAACTGCAAACTCTGAGCAAACCATAAAGAAAATACTACCTGAGGATTCTAAATAGTAAAGGAAGTCAGGCAGATTGCAGAGAGGAACCAAAACTTGGAAAACTGACTTGAGTGGGGGCTGAGCTTCCCGTTGAGGAAAATTTACACTGAGCGTGGCCTGTAGTCATGGAGTGGCTGGTCACAGGCAACTGAAACACCAAACCGAACAAACTGCCAGAAGAATCAAGGGATCGAGGCCAGATGACCATGGCTGACTGCCAGAGGGTGACAGGGAAATCAAGCAGAAGAGAGCCCTGGAGAGAGTCGGCTTCCCTAATTCTGTGCCTGAAGACTGCAAGGTTCACATTGACTCCTTTCTAATGTTTCTGTGGAACAGGCCCACAGCAGCGCAGCAGATATGAAACCAAACTAAGACGTGGACCTCTGTTCACACAGGTAAAAGACAGCTTAAAAATTGGATCTACCTGAATTAACTATCTGCTAAAACAAATGAAAAAAAACCAAGATTTTCCAGAAGACAGTAACAGAATCCAGTACTATATAATGTAAGACTCACTACAATGTTCAGGATACAATCCAAAATTAGTCTCTATTCAGAGACCTATGTGGTTGTGACCCATTCTAATTAGAGAAGGAAAAGCAAAAAACAAAACAAAACAACAACAACCCCCCAAAACAAATGCTAATCTCAGTAACTCTGAAGTTAGAATTATTAGATAAGATGTTTAAGTAATTCAGCTATGTTGAAGTAAAAGGAAGTATTCTTAAAATGAATGACAAGACAGAAAATCTTAACAGGAAAAGACAACACATAAAAAGAAACCAAATAGCAGTATTAAAACTTAATAGTAGAATATATGAAATAAAAATATTTTTATTTTTTTAAATAAAAGGTGGCACTTGCCTATAATCTCAGCACTCTTGGGGCACGGGTGTGGTGCTGAGACAGGAGAATCACAAATTTGAGCCCAGTCTGGGCAACTTAGTGACTTAGCAAGAACTTACCTCAGAATAAACATTTTAAAGAGGGGGCATGGCTGGGCTTGTAGCTTGGTGGGAAGGCCCTGGATTCAAAGCAATTTCAAATACTGCAAAATCAAAACCAAACCAATCCAAACCAAACACCCCCATAAGATAACAAACAAACAAAACCACAATAAAATCCCTAATGGGTTTAATATCAAGGGAATATCAAGGGATTAAGTATCTTCAAGGGTACACCAAAAAAAAAAAAAAGAGAGGAAAAAGATTTTAAAAAGTAGAGCCTCAGAGACCTATGCAATAACATAAAAAGCCTAACATCAGAAAATTAGAGTCCCAGAAGAGCAGAGGAAGAAATAACAGTTGAAAGTACCCCAAATAAATGTATAGACTAAAAGATTTCAATAAGCCCCAAATCAGGCATATTGACAAAAAAACACCCTTAGATACATAATAATTCAGTATCAGAAAGCAAAAGATATAGAGAAAATCTTAAAAATAATGTAGTATAGAGAGGAAAATGTGGATTTAAATAACCAGTGGCTTTTCATCAGCACCCCAGGAGGCCGGGAGATAGAATTCAAATAACAACCAACCCTGGGATTTAGTTCAGTTAGTGGCTTCACCTTTCAAGTTCCAAGTGCAATCCCTGGTACAAAAACAAAAACAAAAAAAACCAAAAAACAACCAAAAAATACCACACACAACCAAAAACCCTGTCAACTTAGAATAAAAAAGCCTTCCAGGAATAAAAATGAAATAAAGGTAAGTTCAGGTAAAGGAAAATGAAATAATCTTTTGCCAGCTGATTTTACTGCAAGAAATGCTTGAAAAGGAAATTCTCAGGTCAAGGGGAAGTCACTAGAGGGAAACCTGGATATCCAAACAATTTCAGAAATGGTAGCTATCTGGACAAATATTAAAGATTTATATTTTTCTTCTTCATTAAAAAAGATGACTATTTAGAGAAGAAATTTTACATTGTCTGTGGTGGTCAGAGGTAAAACAGATGCCAGTTCTGTTATAATCATATACAGATGTTCAGCTATAGGGTGGATTCAGGATGTCCTCAAAGACCAGTGCAATGAAACCTTGATTCCCAGTCCATGACATTTTTAAGAGGTGATGGAGACTTTCAGAGGTGGAGAGAAAACCAGAAAACTGAGACTGTGCCCGTGAATAGGATGTTGGGAGCCACACACATTCCTCTTTCTCCTTGCTTTCTGTCATGAAGTAAAAAGCTTCCTCTGCCATGTGCTCCCAGTGTGTTTTGCTGCTCTGCCACAGACCCTATGCAACTGTACTAACTAATCATGGACTAGAATTTCTGAAACTGAGTCAAATCTTTCCTCCTCATAAGTTGATTATCTCAGGTATTTTACCATAGCAAGGGAAAGCTGATTAAAACAGGTCCTTACATGAGTTTGTATACTTTTCATGAAGTCGTATATTAACTATAAAAGAAGAATGATATATGTTAGAATTCCTAGAGCGTTAATTAAAAAACAAAAATAAGTATAGCTTTAAAAATTAAAAACTTAGAAGGGGCCAGGGATTTAGCTCAGTGGTTCGGTGGCCTGCCTTGCAAGCACAAGTACACGAGTTCAATCCCCGGTACCAAAAAAACAAAAACAAAAACAAAAAAATTAGGTAGGTGTAGTGGTGCATGTTTGTAATTCTAGCACTTTGGGAGGCTGAGGAAGGGGGACTGTGAATTCAGGCCCAGCCTTGGCAAGGCAGTGATTAGCAAGACCCTGTGTACATAAAAAATAAAAGAGGGAAGGATGTAAATGCCCTGGGTTCAATCCTCAGGGCTGGGGAAAGAAAAGAAGTTAATATGGGATGTAAAAGAAATAAAAATAATCCAAAAGAAGACAATAAAGGAGGAATCTAGGAACAAAAAATAGAGGGACAGACAGAAACCAAATAATGAAATCAAAGATACAAATCCCACTATCCCACATCAGCAATTGCATTAAACTTTAATGTAGAAATGCTAAAAGGATAGACATTACAAGAAGAGATTCTTAAAAAGCATTATTCAATTACATGTTGTCTGTAAAAGATACTTTAATATATAAGGACACTGATTGCAAGGGAATAAAAAAAGATATGCCACTAAAACAGCAAGCACAAGAAGGCTAGCATGACTATTAATATCAGATGGACTGGGCTTCAAGTCCAAGAGGATTAATAGACAAAAAGGTGACATTTTAGAATTACAAAAATGACAATTCACCATAATACATAACAATTACAAATGCATAGCAATTATAAATAAATATGAGTCTAGTCACAAAGCCACAAAATACATGAAGCAAAACTTGACAAATTAAAAGGATAAATAGGCAACTTAAAGGCACAGTAAGTGACCTGAGACTCTTGTCTCAACATTTGATAGAACTGGGTAAAAAAATCTCTATTGACAGAGGATTTAAACAGTATCAACCATCTCATCTTAATTGAACTAATTACTCATATTGATTACATTTATCTTGCTTTAGCTATAGAGCACTACAACCCACAATTACAGAATAAATGTTCTTTTCAAGAGTACAAGACTCATTCACCAAAGTATATTGAGCCATAAGGGAAATTTCAATAAATTCAAAAGGACTGAATTCATGTAGAACGTGTT